GAGAGCGTTCCTTTTCTGAATAACTTGGATTACCGGATGGTAACGCTAGTTACTCTCCGAAGGAACGCTCTCTGCGTTGTTGAGTGCAGAGAACGTTGGGCTAGTCGGACTCCTCTTCGCTCTCAGTGTCGTGCCGTTCAGGGACGTTGAAGAGGATGTCGGTGTAGGAGGACGGAATCTGTCGCACGACGTAGTGGCGCCAGAAGGTGTCAGGGTCCTGCCATCCGCCCAGGCGGAAGAGGGCGTCGGGTTCGACGCCGGCGTGAATCCCCGCCATGATGCCCGACTTGCGGAACGTGCGGGCGGTGAAGACATTCGGATCGAGGCCTGCCTTGTGGGCGACGCCCTTGAGGACCTCCACGCAGCGCGTCGGCGAGAGCTTCGCGTAGGGGGGCTCCAGCTCGAAGACGAGGCGGCAGCCATGAATGTGGGCGCGTGCGCGTGTGGTCTGCGCTTTCCAGTGGCGGAAGGTAGCCACTGGGCAGAGCGCCTCCTCCGCGCATTCGAAGATGATGACCTTGTGGCCGTTGCTGTGGAGGTCATTCTTGTAGCCCGATACTGGCATGATCAGTGCTTCTTTGTTGCCCTCGCGTTGGACGGACATGCTGTCAAGGAACGGCAATGTCGCCGCTGACACTTGCAGGGCGCCCAGCATGCAGAGCAGGGCAATGAGCTTTGCTCTCGTCTTGCTTGGCGTGGTCCAAGGTCCCCAGTCGCGGAAGAGGGCTGCCAGAGAGGACAGGTCGAAGGTCCTCCCATGGTTGACCAGCCATTTTGTCCTGTCACGGACAAGGGCTTGGCGTAGGCAACAGATGAGCAGATCACAAGTGGGGAATAGGTTCAGCAGTTCATAGAGCACCACAATTGCTGCAGAGAGCAACTTGATGGTCAAGGACAGCTGTTGAGAGGCACAGGTGGCCAACTCAAGGAAGTTGGCGATCACCATGACTGCCTCTTCCTGTTCTGGAGGGAAGCTCATTTCCTCCCATTTGCAGAACTCGCAGAAACACTGGAGGGAGGATCAATAGCGTTTCCACATCAACGGCGCCAGGGCGCTGTCAAGCATGGCTAGGGCGTGAGGCAACCAGCCCTCAGTCCACGCACACCAGAGATCCTGCAGGCAATCCATCACCATGCCTGGTTGCACAGCAGTTCTGGCAGGGCCTTGCCCTTGAGCTTGAATGATGAGGGGTTGTTGGGGATGGGGATGGGCAGCTCAACACAGAGTTCCAGGAGCTCATGGAACCACGGTCTGTTCAACCAGGTCGGGACCACGATGGTTGTGGAGGCGTGTTGCTGATGAATGAGGGTGATGATCTTTGGAATGAGGGCTATGGGTGGTGTCACCCAGTTGTTCTCCTGATGCCAGTCTTGGCAGAGGGCGTCCACCGCTTCAGACCCTCCTCGTGGAAGCGGCTGTTGAAGTGTGGGCACCTGGCGTTCC